TATATATATATATATATATATATATATATATATATATATATATATATATCACACACACACACACACACACACACACACACACACACCTACATGAATGTTGTCGGTATGATTCTTCATGGATGATGAAATTTTTCCTTTTCGGTTGTAAAAGGCTCTTTTCCACATGCATGATGTATGCCTCCTCGCATGGATGATCCTGCATGAGTGATGTACTTTTTTTGCTCTCTATCTTCGTCATTCGAGAAGTGCACACTTCTATTCAGCCTCCTTCCACCTTATGAAAGGGGAATGAGTTTATGCTCTCGTCCTTCCTTTCTCCTTCCTACGGGGAGAGGGGTTACGGGACCAATGATGGAAACATACATTTTGGGTTAAAGGGCTTTGAGCCGCTTCAATGTGTGTCTAAACTCTTCGCTCGTTCTCTCTTTCTTATTCCTTCTTCTTTTTTCTTCGTCCTTTTTTCATCTTTTCTCCCTTTTTCTGCAAGATCGATGAATGGCGTGTTCTTTGTGGATGCCCCCCATATTCCGATTGATGGGTGCGTGATGAGTGCTTAGACCTGCCCTGAGGTTGTGCCATGAGCAGGAACTCATACACATGGCAGGCCTCACAATAACTGGTCACCTTTGGGATATGTGAATGTTTTTTGAACCCTGGTCCACTTTCAAAAACTTCAAAAAAAGGACCCCCATCCCCCGTCCCCTTGTTTCATTTCACGTTGCTGTTATTGCATGTATGGCTGCTTTCGATGCAACAGCCCCTCCATCACCTTCACCACAAATTGGACATAAAAACGGTTTTACCCTGCCAAGTTGAAGATCGCCTCGGCGACTTGTCCTTTGCTCGGAGTGGGCCAACGGTTGTGTAGGAGACGTGTGTGTACGACGTGTAGTACTCACACTTGCCTCATGTGCACACACATGCTGCAAACACACGCACCCGTACGCCCACGCCCACACCCACGTCCACACCCACGCGCATGCACACACACACACACACACACACACACACACAACCAAGAATGGATGCTCTTTAAATTCCTCGAATTATTTATGTTATTATTCACATACCATCTCGTCGCACATAATTTGGACAAACCACACTCTGCTCACTATCACCAACAACAGCATTGGCACTCCCACTATTCGTCTCACAAACTCGTTCACGCACCGTCATCTCTATCACTCCATGGCTTCGCAACCTCTATTTCAATTTGTTGATAGACCCCTGGAGTGTATAGACCCTCATCTATATCTAAATGCTGACAATTCCATCGATTTTGAACTCTTTAAACGTGCGGCTACTCCTCGTGAAGGGTTTTGAGTTTGGCGTCTGACCACCCTATACCTTGGGGGCTTCAACAACATCCTCCTACAAGGGCGATTACAACATGTCAAACGAGGCCGACATTCAACAGATGGATTCGTTCAAGAGGCAGTCCAATCCTCCTTCCACGACTCGCCTCGCAGCACAAATTGTTTGGTGACAGAACCTTCACGGTTGACACCGGACCAGGTTCCATTCTATGCTGTGCACTCAGCCCTGCATCACATGCTTATTCAATCAGCCAATTCAGAATGACAATCTATATCTCGCACCCTCTCCCAAACCACCTCGGCCTGACGCTCTCGCTTGTTGCAATGATTGCAAACAAATGCTGCAACCTCCGAGATCGCACCAAACATTCATGAACTGGAGTGCATGATTTGTGGTCTGCAATATTTACGCTCCAGTTCTACAATGATAGGGCTCCGTTCTTAAACTTTATTAAGGTTGTGCACATGCATCAGGTTGCTCGCACTACATAATTATGAGGCATTTTTTGACTACCGGAGGTCGTTGAATTACATCCACAGCCTTCTCTTGACAAGGAGATATGTATCTGTGACAAAATGGTGTCACCCCTTCGTGTCCACTTCTGTAATTTTACAGAAGTGGCACTCGGCATAACAAGCAATATGCCTCCTCCAGACCCAAGCAATTGTCCTTGCCATCAAACATTTCCACGTTGTGCATACACTGTTAATGGTCATGTGGCCCACTACACCATTATTTAAGACACACACTTGCGGGCACTCTTCTTTTAAGACTCCAAAGTACCGCCTCAATGTCGACCCCAAAAACGTGATAAAAGCGTTGAAACTCGGTCTGGTCTGGACAGGTATATTGGCAAGTTTATAGCAACCATGAGATCAACACACAACAATGAAGCTGTAATTGTTGACAGTCTCTCTCAGCTGCACAGATGGCGCACAACAATTCTTTCAAGATCCCAACGTGGCCTCACGCCCCAAAGTTTGCTGTAGTTTAACACAATTATCATTAACGCACACAGCTACTTACCAGGCATGGGACACTTGACCCGTTTTCCAGCTGGGTTGACGCTGGACCCGGTTTCCCACCAATAGATGGAGCAGCCCGCCACCCAAGCCTCCAATCCTGATGGTTCTTTCACCACCATTGGGATAGTTGGCTTGTCCAAGGGCTTTAAAAAAAAAAAAAAAAGGTCGTCGTTCCGAGCACCTACTCAGGCTGCTTTACGAGCAGTCGACACATCTCTTCAGCGGCTACAATAGTAATTCACCATCGTACCTGTCGATAAAACATCGCACAACATGGCAATCTGCTGCAAACGGTGGTACACATATAAGTTATCACAACATCTTGTCTGTAGCTAGCATCCTCGACGCCATGCACTTTTCAATCAACGCTGGGGCTATCGGCATAGTGACACTCTTCCTTATCTCTACTTGGCACTCAAAGCACACAATCCCCACCTGCTTCATGTCCAATTCTTGGAGTTCGGTGAAACAACCTTTCCCGATCTGCACCTTGCTCAGCACCTCATCGACCTTCAGTCTCAGACCTGCATAACAGGCCCCCTCATAAGCCTCTGCAAGTACAGCAATTGCCTCTCGTTCGCTTAGCTTTGCTGTCCAAGGTATTATCAAGTCTCTGCGCAGTAAGGACAATGAACTTTATCAAGAAAGTTTTGTATGACGTCGCTTGATCGTGCAAAGTGTTGAGGAAGTCATTCCGGATTGCAAGGAGAATGCATATTCCCTTCGAGGCTGTACGCCACACAACGGATTTTACGACAATGTATACAAACCTCCCACATGACAAGATTCTTAACAATGTCCTCAATGCTGTTCATGACACAAATAATTATGCTTTGGTGCAGATCCTGCAGGGCAGAAGGCCAATACAAATGTACATGACTGTAGGATGTCCTCATCGCGGGGAGTGGGTTACTTCGCATGGCTCCGAGACCCTTTCAGTATCAGAAATTGAACAACATTTACGGTTTGTGGTCTCTAATACATACTTTTATACAACGGATGGCACTCTGCTCCATCAGGTGATCGTTATCCCTATCGGCACTAGCGGCCAACCAGAAATTGCCAACCCCACTCTCTACTGGGACGAAGCACAGTTCGTCGACGACGCACTGCACAAGCATATGCATTCACATACCGATCCATTGATGACATCCTATCATGGAAGACATCCCCGCCCTCCCCTACTCAGTATGGTCTTGAGTGGAAAGAGAGTACTGAGCAAGATGGGTCCTGTCTTTTCCTTGGGTCTAGAATCCTGGTTCAGCCAGACGTCCTCAATCGGTCTACCCCTGCCAAATCTAGGAAGTGGTGGATATAGTAAGAAAAATTTCAGAAAATGACCCCCGCAGACGGGAAACTTAGGCTTCTCGATTGATAAAATTGCACGGCGGCAAAGCAAGAAGAGAGGAGCAAAGTGAACCAGAACGAATTTGACAACCCAGTTAACATAACACTAGGAACACAGGCAGCCCTTCAACTGCACAGACATGGCTTGCCAGCGAGTGTGGCCACCGACGACACACCCCTCCAAAAATTCATCATGTCTATGCGTTTCAAGACAGGAAAATAAAATTCCATTCATAAAACTCAGCAGGTGATGAGCAAGATCTTGCTCTTATGACCAATATCTTGCTCTCAAGGAGTGGGAGTTACCTTTTTTTTTCCGTTCTTGCTTCCGATCAACAACTGACAGAGGAAGTATCATGGCAGACAGGAGCACTAGATCCCAAGCCTACCGGACATCTCAATCTGTGCAATAGAGATCCAGTCAAAAAAGCTAAGCTGATGTTTTTCCCCTTTTGCTTGGATTCCACCGAAAGCGCTTCATCCAGGAGCTGGAAAAATCTTATTGCCTTGCTGTCTTTGACAGAATGTACTATTTATTGTTTGCCCAGACTGCAAAAAGAAAAGTAAATTCTCTAGCAACGCGACGAGCAACCAACCAACATTGGCATGCAAGGGCACTTTGCTCTTTGTCGTCACTAATTATCAATATATGAACTATTATGAAGTATCAATATATGAAGTAGAAAGAGTCGACAGTTGTTCTCAGCTTTGGTTCCATCTTCGCCCAGCGTCGCTCGTTCGCCCCTGTTGTGATAGTGTAGAACTTCCCTGCAGGAAAAAATTCCACCGAAGCTGTTCAGATCACACATTCTCTATCTCCAAAACAAGAACTGTTGGGGGCTGTGCATGATACTGCATGTCTGTGTGTGCACACAAATGAAATGGGTACCCAAAAAAGCCAAAGTGAACACACTTAAGAAAGGGTTTAAGGTTTCAACGCTTCTATTTTGGTCCGCGTTGCTTGCTATAAAGGTAAAACTGTTTCATTGCTGGTTTGTATAAAAACTCCAAGTGTTTTTGTTGTCTGCACTACGACTAAAGCTACTTCAATTTCGGATCTACTCATCTTGATGGAATAGGGGCTGTTGTGGTGTGGTGAAAATTCAAAACACACATCTACCTAGGGTTCAGCCTCCTGATGACTCGGTGAAACTCCGGCGAAACAGTTTGTCACAGCCCGAGCCCTCGTTTGTAGTCCTCTTCTCCCTCTCTGCCTACGGTTTGCCGGGCAGTTCTGTTTGACGATATATATGAAACGGTTTTCACCTTAACAGTAGCAGATGCAGATGCCAGGGCTCGATCCCTAGACCTTACCACACCCATGTACAGTATCGAGTCGACCCCTGTGTGTTTGAAGTTTGAACCCGTGACCTGTGTTTTGGTAGTTGACTGTTGCTTGTCGTAGCTCTGTGTAGCTGTAGGGGTTCGATCTGTAGATCTGTCGACTAGGGGTCATAGTTGTGTAGAGGTCGTAGCTGTAGCAATTCTGAAAGGTCAAGGTCGTAGCTGCTACAGTCCTGAAAGGTCAAGGTCGTAGCTGCTACAGTGCCGAAAGGCCAAGTCCACAGACTTCCGGAAGGTTCGGAAGTGGCCTTTCGAGTTTTTCTCACGTTACTCATAGCAGATTAGAGGCAAGTGGGCAAGTGGTGAGTCCAGCTTTGCGTAGTCAGCTGTACCCTGTCTCAGTCTCACTTCGTATAGTCAGCAAGTACCATGAGGGACTGTGCGCACCATGGGCCCGGTGGAAAAGGGCAGACCAGCGACTTACAGAAGTATAAATCAAGAGGCAGCGTCCAGCCATTCATTCATTCCTGCGTGAGCCATGCGGAAGCGCTGCCCAGGCGTCTTGTGGGAGGTGGTCTGCAGATGCCCGAGGTCGAAGTGGGCTGAAGGGAGATAGAGTGTCCATAGCCAGTAGAAGTTAGGCGGCCATAGCCGCTGTGTAGTTGGAGATAGGTTTCCGTGTGTGTGTATGTGCGTGGGATATTCAGGGAGATCCAGAGTGAAGTGCGTGTGAACAGTCGCCGTGAGTACAGTGTTGGACAGTTGATGTGTGGGCGCCAGTCGCCATAGCCAGTTGGAAGCGAGTTTGTATCTGAACTGTGTTCTCGGCCATATTGTCTCTGAGCTTTGTGTGGGCGCTTGGCGCCAGTGTGTTTCACCATCTGTTTGCATGCATGCAAAGTGAAAAGAAAGCGAGTCTAATTTCATATATATATTATTAGGCTACCAGAGTGGCCCGGGTCCACTTGCCCGGCCGGGCCAAAAAGGAATAAAAAAATAAAAAAATAAAAAAATAAAAAAATAAAAAAATAAAAAAATAAAAAAATAAAAATTACTTTTTAAGTTTTTATTAAAATTTTAATTACAATTTTTATTTTAAATTTTCCATTTGGTACAGAATTTCGATGTGACCCTGAGGCAAAAATTGTTCAATTTATTTTTCTGCATAAACCACTAGTACCTCGCCCAGTGTTGGGAAATTATGGAAAACTGGCAGTTTTCCCAAACTCCTGAAAATTAGGAGGCCGTGCCCGACGACGGCTGCCATTGATAAATCTGATCGGCGGCGGTCGTTTCGTTTCGGCCATCCGAAAAGGTCGGAGGCCCACCCGAGGCCCGCTATTT